CAGCGGCTTTTATTTGACCATAAACCGCTATGTATTTTACCCCTCGAACTTTCCGAACATTATGAGCCCGGGAATCACAGTAAAAACCAGCGGTTAAAACCATTGCGAAACAGTGTGAATGTAAGTCGCGCAAAATTTGGCGAGCGCGGTTTCTGGACATATTGTTAATCTGTGGTTAAAGGACAGGTTAAGGTATTCTTATGTTTGTTGTAGTTTCAGTTGTAACGAAAGAAAAGTATCCTTTGAGGATATATGATATTTCAAGAATATACTACATTGCTCAATATTTCATCTGTAATTTTGTTGCTTTATTATTCTTACAGATTGGATGAAAATGAACAAATCGTCCGTTTTATTTTCAACAATCATGTCCGCGATTCTGTCATGGCATTCTCGCCGGAGAAAGCTGTCCAATTATATGAAGCCTGGCTCAAGGTCGGCAGAATGCTGAGACACCCAAGCAATCAAATTGATTATAAGCTGTCACCCGGTGAAATGATATCGTTCAATAACACTCGTGTGTTGCATGGACGATCGGCTTTCAGGGTCACTGAAAAATCCTCCCGCTTTCTGCAAGGGGTGTACCTTGACTGGGATCTCATTTATTCACGAATGAGGGTTTTGGCCAAACATTTTAACATTCCATTTGGAATCTGAGAATAATATACAACTATCCCCCGACGGGGAGGTGAATAGTGCTGCATTTATACCTAGGCGCGAAGCGTCGAGGTATATATCTAGCGCTATGAGCCGACCCTGAGAGGGACAGTTGTTGTAGTATTTATCAAATCAGTTGGATAAAAATCAAAAAGGAACTTCTTGTAAAGAAAAGACGTCACTTTGTTAGAGTATGTTTACGTACGTTTCAACTGACAGTGTTTCGGGGGTCATTTTTTTTACGATTTTGTTGCAAATTCAGCGAGGAAAATTTTTTTTTCTACCGAGCAGTAAACAGCGACAAGCCAAATTTTGTCTCTTTCTTGGTATTTTTTGGCGCAGCTGCTTCAGTTACCTCTAAAATTTCATCTTTCGAAACTGTCGCGAAACGAGAAGCCATTTTGAATCCCGTCCCAAAACAGTGAATATCCAAGGATATTCCGAGTTACTGGAGCCAATCAGAACGCGCGAAAATTGCTATCCACTGATTTGGTGAATACTAATAAACCCTAGACTATGGAATTTCACTTTGTCAAACTCTGAAAATCAGATGGTAGCATTTTAGTTAAAGGATAAATACCATTCCACTGAAACGGCTCTTCTGTCACTGATGACCTATTAAAAGCTATGGATGAAAAGAGAATCTCAATATTGGTGTTGATGGACATGTCAAGAGCCTTTGACAGTATAAACCATGACTTGTTAGTTAAACTTCGAAGCCTTGGTGTGTCTCCATCAGCGCTGCAATGGTTAAAAAGTTACCTAAAAGGAAGGTACCAGTACGTTCGTATTGGGAATGTGGTTTCGCTGTCTCTCTCAGTTGATTATGGAGTTCCACAGAGGTCCATTCTTGGCCCCATTCTGTTTACTGTTAAAATAAATGATTGAGTAACATGTACCTAAACTTTGTCGAACTGCTTGTTACTTTGATGATTCTAAACTGTACTTTAAAAGTAATGAGCTATGTAACGCAGTCTCGTCAGTTAACTCTGATCTAAACGAAATCTGTAGGTGGTGCTGTCACAATTCACTGCTTATGAATCCAGATAACACTAAAGTTCTCGTGGTAGGCGTGCCGCAATTGCTACAACAGTTACGTGACTTTACAATAACACTTCGGGGAAAACCAATATCATCAACACCTGTAGCAAAGAATCTTGGAGTGTTTTTAAATCAGTGCCTCTCCTATGATGAACACATACGTTAGACTGTTGCTAGTTGTATGAACAAACTGATCCAGATCAATAGAATTAAGCATTTACTTGATAAGGAAACACTTTTATTAATCATTAATAGCTTTGTTTTTAGCAGGCTGTTTTATTGCTCCTCAGTTCGGATCAATACCTTGGCGATTAACATCCATAAGTTTCAGCTTGTTCAAAATTTTGCAGCCGGGATTATCTTGGGACTCCGCAAATATGACCATATCTCTGCAGGTCTAAGATCACGTTGATGGCTAAATGTCAAACAAAGACTTAAGGTCAATGATGTAGTTATGATGCATAAATGTCTCAAAGGTCTGTCAGATAAATTTTCAACTCGAGCTATTGTCCATGATAGACAGACAAGATATAGAGATAGCCTCGATATTCCATCTTGTAGAATCAATGCTGGTCAACGCGCTTTTTCATTACCAAGGTGTGAAAACATGGAATAATTTAAGTAAAGACTTAACGGATATCATAGATACTAATGTTTTTAAGAGACGTCTAATTAATGAACGATTTGTAACATGAACTAGGTTAGTTTGTACAAAGTTACTATTTAGTTATTGTTGTACATAGTTTTTTTTTTAATTAAATAAATAATTAATTCATTTTCCATTTAATTTAATTATTTTATTTTGATATTGATGGTGAAAAGCCCTTTTTAGGAATGCTCAATAAAGTGTATGTATGTATGTATGTATGTAGGATGGTCCCCAGTGGGGTTCTTCAATCCCGTAATCCCGACCCTAATGTTCGCCCAATTCCGTAATCCCGAGGGTTATTTTGAACATCCCGCAACCCACGCTACTTTAAATCTCAAGTCCTGCCCCCATTTAGCTTTGAAATCCCGAATCCCGGCCTTCAAATAAGGTTACTCCCGGATACCGAATAACCTATTGAGGACGGTCTTTAAACCATTCACTGCCAAACGTGGGCAAAGGCAAAATTCGACAAAAAAATCCCAAATTTAATTTTGTAAAATTTTGAAAAAGAAGTAGCACCATGTGAAAGTACAGTTAGAAAGGAATCATTTGAATGGTCACTCCATAGGATTTCGTCCACAGACTGAAAAGTTAGAGCTATCAGCTACCTTGCAAAACTCCATTACTCACTCTGGCAGTGAAAGGGTTAAGTAGTGTACAGAAAAGGTTTCGTTTGAATCGTCCTACTCAAACTCCACAGACTGAAATGTTAGAACGACCTTGTCGGTGCAATTACAGCTTCGGAGCCTTAATTTGAATGGACACACTTTAAGAATCGGTTCGCAGAACCACCTTGTACAGTATTGAATGATCATACTGTAGGATTTTATCCACCGACTCAAAAGTTAAACTCACAATTATACAAAGTTATAAACGCTCCCAAAACGTGATACTGCGGAATCGAACTAGGTACTGGTGATCCAAAATTCAGTTTGACTTTACAGGATTTGAAGAATTTAAAGCACAGGTAGACCAGGGGTACTCTCCGGTAACAGCGATTAAAATGCACATGATATGCATGCTTCTACACATAGAAATTTCCCGTCTACTCTTTGTTTTGTTGGCTTCGTGGTTGTAATAAAACTTTTTCATGTGCGATAAAGTTGTTGTTGTTGCTTTTGAGTAACACATGAGAATCTGAAGGGCCCTAAAGCATTTTTCAAACTTCCGCTTCCGTGTTACCAAAAATTCATCGATAGCGTTGAGTCCGCTATACTACGTTTTGACCAATCGAAATCCGGATTTTGCGATCCAAAATTTGATTCTCTGTTCCATTAAGGACTAAAACAATCTAAGACTGCAATCTGAACGATCCACCTTCGCACTTGGATCGTTCAGATTGATATCTCAATCTACTTTCAGATTTGTACTCCATTTAACGAAACTGCTTTTCGATTGCAAGATCGTGTTCGTTCATCGATAAATTAAGCACGTCGGATGAAGGTTAGTTCGGGCAAACGCTAAAGGATTATAGTATATTAAACTTAAGTTCCCCCATAACGAAGCGAAAACGCTTGCGTTTTCTCGCCGTAAAACTATAGTGTCCAATGTGTGGGTGTGTTTAGAAGGTAAGCGCTTCTCAGCACTTGTCTATTCGTAATTGTCTTCTGAATTTCCTTGAATCAAAATTCCAGATAACTTTCAGTTGACGACTCGTAGTATGAACCAGCACTAGTTAAAGAGGTATTTTTCTTTTCATTTCTCCACGAGAAGACGCTTAATTCAGCGCAAGAAATAAAAAAACGATGTGTTGAAATTGAATACGAATACTTTTAACAGTTTTAATTTTCAATTGCACATTTTCATTACCTATTTTAGCTACAACTAAAAACTGAAATATCGGTTACAAACATTTTTAAAAGTTTTTAATTTTTAATCGTACATTTGCTTTCAGTACTCCTTATTTTTCTTGTAATTGTTGTATGCACGACCCCACGCAATGCTGATCTTTTCATCTTGCTAAGATAAAGTTCTTACCTTACCTTACCTAGAAGAACAGAGCAGCAAGCAGCTACAGTATGGATCAATCTTATTTCAGATTTTTGTTCCGGCTAACAGGAAAATCCAAACAATCTGGATTGTCTAAGCCCGAAAAACGTTTGGCTAAAAGGAATGCAATAAAAAAGACGGGTATCGGCTCATAAGCTCGATCGAGGGTGGGTGCCTCGCCAAATGTAGGGGAGGAGCTGGGGGTGTGTTTCCATAGCACCAGTGGTACTTTGATCTATTCTTGCCATTTAAAGCTTACAAAAACGCCGGCATTCACTCTTCTGTTGGTAAGATAACAAACTCCCTTTTGGCCCTGTGACCCCCTCGCAAGCTGTAAAACTCCGTTTGGAAACTTAATATTCCTTTTTCGAACGCCTTTTCATGTGATTCCGCCCAGTTTGAGCTGTTTTTGTTTAACTGCAAGGCGGAAAGGTTGCCCGTCTCCAAAGTAAACCGCATCAGTTTGGACGTGGTCCAAGAAAGAAGCGGACCTCGGGTGATGTCCTTCACTTAAAATCACCTGGGACAAACAATCTGCCATAGATATCGCTTAATTCTTTACAGATCTGTACATCAATTTAGTCATAGTTACTGTATTTTAACCGACAGAATATTTAAGAGTCTCTCCTATCAAGAAGGCCACATTGTCTCCTCTTGGTTCATCTTACAATCGGCCTGGGTGTGTACTTGACCTGACAGCGTGCACCCCTAAGTATGGAGCAGAAAGAGAGCCAACTGCCTCTGCAGTGGCTGAGTTTTCGTAAGCTTCTGGTCGAGCTGGAGCAACGAGTCTCGCAGCCGCCGCAGCTAGTGACGTCGCAATATTACCAGGCTGCGGCTTTCGGTTGATCACCGCCCTACCAACTGCAACAGGCGCCCGCGTAACCAGCGGATACCCATTGCTTCGCATCATATGCTCTGTCAAAGCGAGGCTAGCTTGTTGCTGAGGAATGTTGTTTCTGTAGTAAACTTGGCCAGGAAATCGTGCTGGGTTTGGCGCAGTCACTACCGCGCGTTGCATTATGGGGATTTGTGCCCGCGATACTAACGGATTTGCACGATGATATGGCAACCGGCTTTGAATGATACCTCGGACTTCTCCAGGAAGATTCCTTTGGGGTAGGTGGTAGGGATAGCGATTGTAAGTTCTAATGGGCACACTGCCAGGGATAAGAGCTCTAGCTTGTTGGTGAAACTCGTCGCGTTGTCTTTTTACCTCACCGTATGGTTTCAATTGAAGAGGATCTGGTGATTTCCTCTCAGCAGCAGGAATTCCGTGGGCATCAACGTTATAGGTGCCATATTCATTAGGGCCCATAATGGTCGTTGTGATATAATACGGTGCCTGAATATTTGATCTGTTTGGGCCCCCTACGAAAAAGGGACAAAAGTGGTAGGTAATTGGCTCTGCGATAGAGCTATAAACTTGTGGGATGATCTGTTAATTAACTGTATAAAGCAAAGTAATGCTCAGACCTAGCTTTCATCCTATTCTTAAATTTTCATCTAAAGACTAGAACCAATTTGTACATCATTAAGAACAGTACCACAGACGTACTGCTCACTAACGTTCACTTGAATGATCACATCGATTTTATCCACAGACTCAAAAGCATTGTCTCAGGTAATATAACAAATTGCGAACTTGTAGCAGACCTGCTGACACCTATTGCGGACCTACTTCGTAACTGGGACCAGGGTCCTCAATTCAGTGCAAAAAAGATGAAAAAATCGGCGAATGAAGCGAACCGAACGGTAGTCTGGGGAGGGAAAGCACTGCCTTTTCCCCTCCCCCAGTTCACCGCTCGGTTTCGCATCGCTCGCCGATTTTTTTGCTGTTTCACCCAGTCTTTTGCCTTTTCTCCCCACTGCGGGGCCTAGTCCCAGGCTATTGACCTAATAACATAGGGGTTTCATGTCTATTGGAAGATGGAACGACAAAAAGGAAATGCAGTCTAAAATACCACACGTTACTCTCGAAACGAAGATACAGTGGAGCCCCGATATAACGAAGTGCCAAGAGACTGGCAAAATTTGTTCGCTATAACGAGGTTTCGTTATATTGAGGTTCTTTTCCATATATTTTACTATTACTGGGGTAAAGAAAATCGTTCGTTACACCGAGGACTTAGTTATATAGAGATTTGTTACATCGAGATTGCACTATATTATTTTAATAATGATATAGATTAAAAGTGAAAAAAGGCTAAGTTATTATCGTCGAAAATAAGTAGCGCTTAACATACCAAGCATTTGCTGGGCGGTTGCGGAAGAATGCTGGGGTCGGATTTCATTACCAGTAACTTGACTTCGCACGGGGATAGCTAGTGGTCGTGTACGTAAAGTTGTATGACCATAAGAGTTAGGCCGCTGACCAGCCACTGGGTAAACGGAAGCTATTTTCTGAGCTGGTATGGAGCGCATGTACGGAGAGATGTTTGGTGAATCTGATAGGAATACAGAGGCGAAACTTAGTAGGAAGGGTGAATGCACATAGGTGCAACTCCTTATGCACGGGATGTTAGTTAGTTAGTTAGTTTGTTTGTTTGTTTTTATCGCAGTGTTACTTTCTTCAGCCTACTCATAGTAAATATGGCATGTGCATCAAGTAGTGAATCGAATACGTAAAAAAGACAACCCACAACTATTGTGTGATTTCCAGTGAAGGGTAGCTAAGGGTGTGTTCTCTAAAAGAGTGTCTGTCTTAAGGTTCAGATTTTACTTCAAATTAAAAAAAAAAAAAAGATCAATTGCAGATAAGAGGTGAGGCATTTATTTTTTTGCTTAACCATAGTTGTGCCCATGTCAGGGAATCCGGATTCCAGAATACGGGAATTTTAGATGGTGAAGTCCGGAATCCTGAGCTTTGGAATCCGGAATACAGCTAAAGGAATCCGGAATCCCACTAACGATTGGAATCCGGAATCCAAGTTCCACTGACAAAAAATCCGGAATCCAGTGCCTGGAATCTGGAATCCACAGCTTGGAATCCAGAGCATCCAAGACGGTCTTGGATTCCGTCACAGTGGGCGACATGCTGAAAAAAATTACACTCTTGGCCGTGAACACTTCTTCTATCTACTTACATGTTGAAGTTTGTGGCGCTTTAAAAGTTCCATACCCAGCTGTTCTCTGTGCAGTAAAGTAACTTTTTGGGGTTACCTGCGGGCTTTGAGCCGCGTACCGGTTAGCCAGCTGTATATTCTCTAGCCCTGATCCAGAAAAGCCTGTTGAAACCGGTTGAGTATGACTGGCAAAACTTGTTTTAGGCTTGTCCACCGCTTTCTGTTGTTCTTTGGTTAAGTTCTCCGCAGCGTTGAGTGGTTTGTTTATTTCCTGCTGCTTATGCCTACCGTCCGTAGTGAATTGCTTTTCGGGCCTTTCAGCTAAACCGGAACTTTCCTTGGTAGTCATAGCAACCGAATCTTGAGCCGATCCTTCTCCGCTTCCACTTCCGCTGTCTTGTATAGCAGAATCCAGGAAGTTAAACAGTCTCTTCACGCCGTCTTTCCTCTTTTTGTGTTCCGGAATCTCTGACTTTTTGGCATGAGGCTCAGTGGTCAAGTGACCACCTTTAACCGGAAGAGCATGAATTCGTTGGTAAAGCCACTGGGGCGAAGGACCTGCTAAAACTAAAACGGTACAATTAGTGATAGGAAGCGCTGCGCAAAGATTACAAAAGGCGGGAGCAACGTAGTACAACTGTTACAAGGGTCTCTAATTTCTCTGAGCCAGGTTAGCGGCATTCGCGGTTAACACCTGATTGGTCCTGTTTTGGTTCGTTGATAACCTTCATTCCTCGACAACGGTCAGTGGAACAATTGAAAAATATTCAAATTGTTTTATTGATTTTTAAAGTCAAGGGAGAGTAATCTTTCTTCTCTCTTGTTAAAGTTATCAGTATTAAATAAAGCACCCTAGATCTTAGGTCTTTTGGAAATATTACGGTAAAATAAAATAGAAATATAGTATAATGTGCTTACCCGAACAAATTGAAAGTCCACAGAGTAGAAAAGAAGAAATTAAAAGATGGCGTTGCATTGCTGTCTTAGCTGAGTGTCACTCCTACGTGTGGTGTATTGACCTTGAATAATGACATAGCAAGTGTGAGCAGGTATATGTTTAGGCGCCTTTATCTATATATCTGATTTATATACATGAAAGTAACAAGTTAGACGCGGTAAATTAATTTGTTTCGACACAGTTTTTCGGAGAGCATACCAATATTCACTCAGGCTTTCAGTTTTCAATGACTGATCTGTAAATGTCACAAAATTCTTCTTTAACATCGTTGTCATGGCAATATCGATTTTACTTAAAACTACATTTTAACAAACTTCAATCCAAGTTCAGTTAGCAGGGAAAATGTTATGGCGATCGAATAAGGATAAAATTACTTTCAAGGCGATGGAAAAATATCAAAGCGTCTTAATTTTTAACTCATCAAATTGCCTGGAAAGGTCGATTCCTGGCAACCTCGTTTAGAGGGCTCTCCCTCCTGCTTTGATCGGAGAGCGAAAGCTGAAGACAAATTTTAGAAGGCTTCGCCGCATGCGCAGACGAAACACCATAATCGCACAAGCTGAATGTGCAGGTTACGAAAGTCACTTGGAGCTGCTTGGGTCTCAGGCTCAAATATATACCTAAGAGGCAAGCATCTTTCCCTCTTTAATGACCAAAAAGTCCTCTCCTGAATTCAGACCTAATTGGTTAAATCACTGGTATTAGCACAAATCGAAAAAAAAAAGCTACGAGCAGAGATCATGACTCGTAACGAACATTTTGAACAAAAAATTGCTTATCACACTAAACAAAGAAAAGTGAGTAATCAGTGGTTTGCCCCGTATAAGGAAATCCAAGACAGTTTTGAATTCTGCAATCCACGCCGCGGATTGCTCCGGATTCCAGGGAGTCCAGTCTTTGTCAGTGGAATTGGATTCTGAATTCCGATCGTTATTGAGATTCTGGTTTTCTTGAGCTATTTTTTGGATTCCAAAGCCCAGGATTCCGGCTGGATTTCAAAAGGAAAATTTTTCTGGATTCCGAATTCCACAAACAAAACTTTTTCTGATTTCGGAATCCGGATTCCCTAACATGGGGCGAATGGTACATAATAGGAGTCACAGATCAACTAGAGCCATTTACAATCTAAATTTGATTTAATTGTAAATCACCTTTCAGTTTTTAAGGGTTAGCAGTCAAGTTACGTGAAACAAAACGATGTCTCTGAATTCCTGATCTCAGTTTCCTTTTATATTTACAATTTTATGTACACAACCAGACAATTTTAACCACGCCCTGACCAAAGCAAGAGTGCAAAAAGCATTCAGTTCCAGGCATTAAACGTCGAGATAATTTATTATACCAGGGATAGGTTGCCCCTTTCATTTGGAAAACTGTACGTACGAGACAAGGCATGGACACGCTGGGCCGTTGTTTAACACAGCCGCGTTTTGTCTAAAGGCCAAATGTAAAATCTGAACATTACTGAAAACAGCGCAGAATGGAAAACAATAATCCATAAATACCAAATTGCAAACAGACTAGAAGACCCTCTGCTGCCTTAAACCGCAATCATAGTTACACGTCGTTTAAATACCCGGCCCGCAGAGTTCTAGGGCTTTGTACACCTGTGTTTACGGGTAAAAACTAAATAACCTGCTTGTATCGCTTAAGACAATAACTGTCTAAATGGTGAAAGAAAGGAGCACCTGCTTCAGGAAATACTTATAAATAATCGTAAATTATTCTATCCTACCTTCCTTCCTTTGGAGAGAAACAACGCTGGCAACAAAAGTCGATCGCTCAGTGTAAGGGGCGTTGAAGCGTTTCAACCACTTTTGTAGTTAATGTTATAAGGTCGAAAAATAGCCAAGAAAGCATTCCACGCAGCTAATCAGTGCATATAAACAACAAGTGACAACATTTTTGTTCTTCTCACAACCACCGGGTGCTCAATTGTTCCCCAAATAAAATAACCTGTCATTTGTACCTGCTGGCACATAATTACCTCCCTCGATCACACTGTTTTTGGGTCAATTTAGGATTCTGGGAAACTGTCCAACTACCCCTCCCCTAAGCTAACATTAACACTTACATCTCACTTAGGAAAAAATGATGGCTTAGGGGAGGGGTAGGTAGGCAGTTTCCCAGACACCTAAACTGATTCCTGTTTTCGATGCTACGCAATATTGTCTGGATTAAATTTTATTAATTAGCTATTCTTTTATTCTTTTTTCTTCCTTTCTTTCCCTTTCTATTTCGGTTTCCTGTGCGAATTACACAAATAAAGCCAAATTAATATTTCTCTTCAAAATATCGCCGATGGTAGTTGTGCGGTAGAAGGTGGTGTGAACACTACTAATTGGTCTGCTGTCCCATAACTAGCCTGTCTGTTAAAGACCTCTATTTTTCCTTAACATTGTCAAAATCGAGCGCTCACCCCTGTAACTCGCGGCTGGGCATTTTCTAGATTCGGTCGACAAGATGGCCGCCGGTGAATTCTCGACGATCCTACGGGAAAACAGAGGACCGTGAACAGTCTATCCCATCACTCACGGGGAAAGCAGAAACGTAAACTTTTTAATGACATTTTTACTTCGGCAGGTACCTCCTGGAATAAAGTTGTCCTTAATTAATCAAATTATCGGAAATGTTGTATCAAAAAGCATATCTTTACCGCAATTTTCCCGCAAAAGGTTTCAGATAAAAATGCATTACAACTCCTCACTCTTTTCCAGTCACTTTCGTAACGCGTAGGCCGTACAAGAGAAAGCATCAATAAGAGAAGACTATGGACCGCTCAGCAGCGCCATAAAGAACTTTAATGCTCACCCTGGTCCAGGGGGAGTTACACACCTCTCCAATGACTGGCCTCTACTTTTGAGATCTTCCTAGAGTCAGTCAGTTTTTATTCTGTTATTTTGATTCTATCTACATCTTGCTATACATCTACTTCTATCTGCATCGTGCTTATTCCTGGCGGATCCAGGGGAGGGGCCCGGGGTGCCCGGCCCCCTTTCCCTTATTTGTATACCAAACTGAGGCCCGAAGGGCCGAAACACTTTTTATTTGACACCGCCCCACCCTTATCTAAGGGTCTGGATGACAATGGCATTTTTCGGCGCTTTTTCGCAGACGGACATAACCAGAGTTTACTTTTGTCTGCGGCGTAGGCTAAGCCTGCCCGTGTATGCTATCATACTGGGGAGTAGTCTCTCCGGGACGCTTATGGGAAATCGTGGCTTGAGAGAGGTCGACGTTATTCAATTGGGTGTGTGTTTGTTTGACGGCACCTGTTGTTCAAAATAGAAGTTGAAATGTTTCCAAGCGAAAGATTTTTTGGCAAAATATGAATTCTGTATATCGCATGCTAAATGCACAGCTGACGCATCACATGGATGATAAGGAAATTGGAAGCTTTAACCAGGCTCCTGAGTTAACTAACTATTTGAGCGACTGTGAAAGCTACCAGCTACATAAAAACTAAAAATGGGCTTCCCTTTCTCAAAAGAAAAAAGCTGTGACGACGATAACAAAGTAAATAACAGGCCCATCGTTGGTGGTCGTCGATAGTCTAGTTTGTCAGTGAGCTTTACCTCATGCAAATAAACCACTGAACTATTGGCGAAAAATTAGAACCAACTGCCGGGCGTTTGCAAAATAATCCAAAAAAAAAAAACGAAAAAGAACTGTTAAATTGCTGGAATTTGTTTATACATAATGCTCTTGATCCACGCAAATGCAATGAAAAGGAAAAACGAATTTGTAGTAATGTTACAAGAGCGCATAAATCGTGAGTTTATGCCAAATATACAAATACTGTAACTCCTCTATTAAGCGTCCCCCTTTCTAATAAGCCCCCACCCGCCCTTTTCAAGGGAAGAAAGTTAATAAGCCCCCCTCTGTTTTAAGCTCCCCCCTCCCTCCTCCTTATCATTCTTCACTAATAAATGTTGGAACTGTATTAATCAATCACGACTGTAAAACTTCGTGTGGACTGATCCAGCGGGATGGTCTCTTCACTAACTGGACTTTTTTTTATCCTCGGCTGCATGACCTCCAATGGCCTTGTACTTGAGCTTTTCTACTTTGTATTCTAGTTATTAATGGAGAACTGATACCATCGTTTTTGTCAAATTAAATAAGCCCTCCTCTCAAATAAGCTCTTCGTTTCTATTAAGCCCCCTCAAATGTGTTTGAAGTAAATATTAGCCCTCCGGGAAGCTTTTGAGTGCATATTAAATCGTAAAATTGCCCTTATGTCAGACGAGCCAATTTCGCCAGCTCGTTTGTTCGCAAAATTCTTCGCATTTTCAATATTTGTGCATGGATATTCTCAACTCTACTGCATTGGGAATAACAAGCTACCGAGCAGGGGTCAATTTCATAAAACATTTACGAGTGTAATTTGTTACTTTTTTGAGTCTGTGGATGAAATCCTAAAGTGTAACCATTCCAATGAAAGCTATTGAGCAGTACTTTCTTGTGGTACTGTTTATCAATTATGCTGTTCAAGGTGGTTATTACTTTTGAGTCTTGTCTGTGGACGAAATCCTTAAGTAACCATTCAAATGAAAGCTACTGCATGAGCAGTACTTTACTGTCAGTGGTACTGTTTATTATGTTGTAAAAGGTGGTTCAATGAACGTTTGAGTCTGTGGATGAAATCACAGAGTGTGACCATTCAACTGAAAGCTACTGAGGAGTTCTTTCCTGTGGTACTGTTTTTATTGCGCTGTACAAAGTGGTTCTATAAACGGTTGAGTTTGTGGATGAAATCTTAAAGTAAGTGTGACTATTCAAATGAAAGTTGCTGAGCCTTAGTATTTTCCTGACAGTGGTATAATGATGTTGTCATTTAATAGGCGTTAGTTCAGTGTATTTAACATTTTTAAAAATTAAAATAAAAAATAGGAAACTCAATTGACCACCAAGAAGAAAAGGGCCACAAAGAAGCAGGCTACAAATTATTCAACCTGACATGCGCTTCTTTAATAGTTCCACTCTTCAACACGCGTTACATGAAAGACTCTGTCGCGTTTAGAGGCTCAGTCCTTTGGAAAGCGATGACCAACAATTGTAGAACCCTGACAAATCATACACACCGTATTCCATAGGTAATTCGTCTCGAGTTATTTTTAAGACCATAGATCCCAAGGGGGATTAGACACAGCCAATCACATAGCGCAAATGTGTTCTGCGTGGATGACCCACGCTCAGAGCCACGCGTCCTTCACGAATTGACGCAGAAAAAAATGGCGGAAGACGCGGAGAGCCATATTGCTATTTGTTTTGTCGACGAAAACGACTAAAGAGAGATTTCTGCTAAAGCTGTGTCAGCAAAACGGAAATTAAAAAACAATCGCCCTTCCTCTCTTGTATAGAGCTAACAGTACAGCAGGGCAATCCTTAACACACTGAATATTCTCTCAGGATCATTTATAATTTACAGTTTGAAGAGAGCAATTTCTGGTTTGATATTCATTCTTTTATTAGTCTTTTATAATTCAACAAAAATAACACTTGGCGTCCTACCGGCTTTATTATACAAACGACCAGTTTCAATAGACCGGCGAAATTTCTCATTTTATTAAAGCACTGAGGTAACGACAACTTCGAGTTAAAATGATTTCACAGGTTGTCAAACAGTCCAGCAATTCCCTTTTCCCACGTGAGCGTCGACTCATTTCTCTTCAATATTCAGAAATGCTCTCGATCTCTTTACGCTTTCATTGCCTTTCGCCCGACATGTTTTGCACGGCGTTTAGGCATGCGAAACCTCCACGAAACATCCACTCAGCGCGCGAGGTAACTTTACCCCGATTCTAAAAATAACTCGAGAGGAATTACCTATGGAATAGGGTGTATATGGGGGACGCCTTCTCTGTCTCCTTTATCCTCTCTTGTCTCTAGTTATAATAACTTTAATGAATTTAGCTTCAAGATAACGTCTGCATCCACTTGTTGTTTTAGAAAAGATGATTTTATATATACTTAAATTTATGCTCACAATTTCACATTTGCAAATATCGCTAATTTATGTTCAAATGCTTTTTCTGTAAATATTGCTAGATTTTAGTTTTTTAGTTTATTTAGTGATTAGTTAATTACAAACGACCCTACAAGCTCATGTAGCTTTAATACTTATCGTTTTACTTATCTATCTATCTATCTATCTATCTATCTATCTATCTGTCTGTCTGTCTGTCTGTCTGTCTGTCTATCTATCTATCTATCTATCTATCTATCTATCTATCTACCTCAGGAAGAAATCCTGGCTACTCCCCGGCTGTTGTGGTGGCATAGCTGATAAAAGGGAGTTTAAGCCTGCATGGTTTCCACTAGCGCATAAGCATAAGTATAACAACATAGGCACATGTAGAATGGCATATTTGACTCAATTCTCGATACCAGTTCTCCTCAAGCCGATGATAAACAAGATGGCGGACGCTTCGTCCGCCATATTGCTTTTGATATGTTCGCATGAGGTCTGAGTCAAAGTGGCCTATGATTGGTCCACGGCCTTGTGCTTATGCTTGTGCTTATGTCGACTCAGTTTTCACTTGTTTACACATGTTCTTGTGCTTGTGTTGAAGAACCTTTCTGGGAAACTAGCTGGTTCTCACAACAAACAGACGATTATTTGGTTTGATTGACTCCATTTATATTCTTAAGTCCAATGTCACGAAGTTAGCTCAACCCCTATTTTACAATTCTCTGCTAAACCTGTGTTACACCCATTTTTATATCAGCCAGGAAACCAGCTGCTTAGTGCAAACCGAATGCTGACGTAAGTCTAATCTGATTGGTTAAAAGAGTCTCATTGGCATCAAACCTTCGAGATAATATACTTTGTCCTAATGGTTTTTTAACCCAAGTTTTCACTAT